TGCCGCGCGCGGGCCGGGCCAGGCCAGGCCAGGCCAGGCGGCCACTGCCTTTTGCGTGGCAAACATACACCCTCCTGGTTCAGGACTTGGCTTTTTGTTCCTGTTATCCCCACAGCCCTGCCTTAGTAAAGCTTAATGAAAAACGGCATTTTTTTTTTTCTGTACTTCTGTAATTTAGTCCTGTTACGGAGCTCAGCTGGGGGTTTCCTGTAGGTAGAGGTGCCGAAGGCTCTAGTCTGTCTCCTCCTCCCTTCCACCTGTCCCCCGAAATCAAAGGAACAAGGAGGATTTTGCTTTCCCAAACCGTCCAAAACTGCCAGATCCCGGCTCTTCAAAACATTGCATCATTCTCACCATGCTCTAAAGACACTTACAAGGCTACAGGAGATGTGCAGAGCTCAAGCAAATATCCATACTCTGCCACAGCAGGACAAGGAATCCCAGCTCCCTGCTTGGGTGAAGTTATTAAGGAGTCATCCAGGTGAACCAGCTATACCTGGCTGGAAAAATATGGTATGGGATAAAGAAGGTGGAAAATGAAGAAAAGAGGATGAGAGAACAGAGATAAACACCCTGATTTTTGGGGGGAAGGAGCAAACCTACCTACCAGGCAAAATGGATGAGGAAGTGCAAGAGAGGAAGTGAAGACAATAAAAGGGAATCCAGTGCAGTGGCAAAAATAAATTATTTTCACCATTTAATCAAGACAGCTTGCTTATTTTGCTTTATTAAAAAAAGTTCTGAGGAAGTAAATGAAAAGAGGACATATGTGGTGTTTCTTTTTCTCTGTCTCACTAGTTTTCTTTCCAAACCTCCCCTCAGAGATAGCAGCCACTTCACATGTTCTGCCCATCTCAGGACTGTCTAGTTCTGCTAATAGAAACTGAACAGAGATAATAGGTGCAAAAAATGCATACAGGCATACAGGCACATATATAATACATATACATATGCATATACATTATATATACATATATGATAACAGTTGAGCATCAAAGGCAGCAAATGAACTCTTAAAGATTCTTAAAGAAATAAAGAAATTCTTTATCTCTCTCCCTCCTACTTCCACCACATTCAGTGGAGAAGTAGGAAGACTTTGCAGACCTGCAGTCACGGAGGCCAAGCCCTGAGCTGCAGGAGGGGGAGCAGCTTTAACCTTTGGCCCTGGGATTCATCAGGAGGAATCAGGTAATGTAAGCAAACGTCACCGTCCCACCCCCAGTTTTGAACTTTATTGCTGTTAAGTGAACTCTCCTGATCCAAGAAGGATGGAAAGGAAATATGCTGTTTAAAATGTGAATTTAGCAAAGAAGCTTAATAAAAGATGCAGAAAGGGAGGGCAGCCTTGCAATGAAAGGGAGATGTCATGTGAGTCGTATGATTTCCAGCAGGTGTTTTTAATCCATCTGTAGCCTGGTGCAATGGTCAGCTAATTTGACAGGGAAAAAACAGTTGCTTCCTTATCTGAGATAAGAAGTTGTAGGTATCTTCAGAGCAGGAGATTGGATTTTATTCAGTTATGGGTCATAACTGAAGTTATGATCCACAGTACTGTAATACCTCTTCCTATGCTGTAACGAAAAATGAGTAGTCTTAGACTGCTGAGAGACCATTTAAGTTAAAATGATGGGTCAAGGGGGGGTGTGAAAGACTATCTAAGAGGACTCTTTGCTTGGTCTTATTAAAAGTCTTGCACCTATGAAGTGACTCAAGTGTACCTGTGCAAACCTCACTTTTGCCCAGCATGGTCTAGAGGTAACGGGGATGCTCCTGTGGACCTCCTGTGTCCTCTTCAGTGTCCCCCACTGCCAGTAGCTGCTTGATAAGTTATACTAAATACTTAGCTCTCCATCATGATACAGTAGAAAAGAGGAGGTAGCTGCAAGAAGCCACCACTTTTGGTGCTTGAAAATCACCCTATGGTCTCCAGCACTCAGACCACTGGGAAGATGTGCAGGGAGGCAACGACGTGACCTTTATAAATAGCTGAGTTATGCTCATTTTTTTTTTTCTTGCGGCTTGGATATGGAGAAGCGTTCACAGCCCTGTGTAACTTTGAGAAGTTTAGCGGAAATGAAACAGGAAGTCAGATCCTTTCAGCTTGTTGATCTGTAAAGACAAACTGAGTCTGCAGAGACTCGTTTTCTGCCCCAACGAGACAAGTCAGGAGAGCAAAAGCCGCCTAAGAAGCTACTCTGGAGGGGAGATGCAGAGACGACACGACAGAAACACAAGTAAAACCAGAGAACTGTTCACAGAGCAAGAAAAAAGAAGCAGAATTACCCACGCAGAGAGAAGTGCTGGTGAGTTTGTGATGCTCAGCTCCAAATTCTGGAGTTTCATTGAGGTGGTGACAAAGCACTGGAACAGGCTGCCCAGAGAGGTTGTGGAGTCTCCTTCTTTGGAGATCTTTAAAACCCGCTTGGATGCAGCCCTGTGCCACGTGCTCTAGGTGACCCTGTGTGTGCAGGGGGGTTGGACTCGATGACCTCTGAGGTCCCTTCCAACCTTGGGCATTCTATGATTGTATGTGGTGATCCGCCACGGGAAGCTCCTGTGATGGAGGCTGTAGCTTCATAGGCACTACTTTTACCTGTACTTTAGAACATATTTGGCATTAATAGTAATAAGTGATGCTAAATAGGTGAATTGCTCCTGGTTGTTACTAATGGCCTTGGAAAGCTGAACTCCTACCTGCTTTTTATATAGGATTCCCACAACTTTTATTCAATTGAAGGGGGTTATCCTTGTCTCAGTGGGCATTTTCTGTGGTCCTTTGAATTGTGAATGAGCTCTGGGCACAGTGACAGTTCTGCTGGTTGCCTGCAGATGGGGTATGATGGGGTATAGTTGCTTTTGCTGCTGCTTTCTCAGTCTGAATAGGTCCTGTCAAAGTATCTTCATACTTGCTTAGTGTGGCTTTCAGTATAAGCTTTTGCTGTAACTACCACAGAGTCGTAACAAGTGGGTGCAAGTGGAGGGAGGCGGTGACAGTCATGCCTGCAACTTGGAGATGTTGCTGTGGTCTGGAGAAGCATTCAGGGATGAGGTTCGTGTTGTGGGAAAGTGCTTGGCTTTTTCCAAGAACCAAACTTAAGCTGATCTCCCTGGAGTTTTCCTTTCACCTCCATGGAGCTTCTTATTCAGAGGAGACGCAAGAAAGGCCTTAGTTCTGCAGAAACCAATACCCAACTAACGCCTTCGCTAGCTGCCTACATGGCCTCCCAAGATGTCTTTGGAAATCTCATTTGCAGACAAACTTTCTGAATCCTTGCAGCAGCCTCTATCCACTTCTACACCATGATCCACACCTGCAACCTTCCAGTCAGCTTATGCACCGCCTACTGCAGTTGATCCCGGGTTAGACTCAGGCCTAGGTTCTTTTGCTTAGGAGCCTCCTGAGTCTCGCTCAAGCCAAGGAAACAGCACGGGCCTGCTGCCCAACACAGCGAGCCCAGGGCCTCCCCTCCGTGCAGCTCAGTCACACCTGGGTTAACCTCTTCCCACGCGGAGGGGCCTGGTGGCTGTGGGACGCAGGGCCCCGCTGCTCCCTGGAAGGAGCTGGAGAAGTGCCCGGCCTGGGAGCAGAGAGGCTGGAGCCGGGGAGGAGCAGCTCCACAGCTTTTGTACCGGGTGCGTGTTGTCCCCCATGAGTCAGCAGCCAGATAAACATTAACCCTTAGCCGTGTCCACACCGGGAAGCCGTGGGTCAAATCCCAACGCTCCTGCATGGGTTGGAGCGTGCAGAAAGGGGAAACTGGAGGCTAAACCCTCGAGAAGCGGCCTGGCCCTGGAGGCACCAGAGGAAAGCGGCTGGAGCGGGAAAGGGCGTCCGGGACTGGAGCAGACACCAAAACCTGGGTGTCCAAACCGAAAGCGACCTCAAACTGAAGTCAGTGTAATGAGGCTTAGTCATAGCACACTTAAAAACATGCTGCTTTTTTATTTTATTTTTTTTTTTCCGGAATGGATTTTTCTATGGAGCGGCACTTAAGCTACAGCTTCAGCCCTTTTAAAGTCAAATATTTACTCTTGCTGTTCCTAGTTGCTTTTTCAGCCTAGATATTTCTTTCACTTGGATATGGCTGCTCATGAATTTCCTTCTATTAATGCACCTGCGACCTTGGGACCTCAGTATTTAACGTATTTCCTATCCTAATCCAACGGAAATAGGTGGAGAAAATACCCCACGCTGGCGCACGACACTGCGAATCTCCTCCCGCTTTGGTTAAAGGTGTCTCTTTCTCAAACCGCCTCACCAGTGCTCGGCCTCTTAGCGCCAGACCTGCCACCCCATCCCAGCTCCGAGCTGGAGCGGGCGCGTTTCCCGCCGCACAGGGGCCCAGGCCGCCATGTCGACACGGGCCCCACGGGCGATGGGCGCGCTGGGGCCGCCCCTGCTGCGCCCGCGGGCCCCGCGCG